AGAAAATGTGGGTGATGCCAGAGCCATCTTCACAGTGGGCCATCTTCACAGAGGGCCATCTTCACAGTGGGCCATCTTCACAGAGGGCCATCTTCACAGTGGGCCATCTTCACAGTGGGCCATCTTCAATAAAGGTCTCTTCCTGCCAATGTTGTTAGAGTCTGCTCCATATCATGTCTATACTAGCCTTGGGATTTAGACTGAGAGGTTTGGTGTTGCATTCTGGGAAGGGGAATGAGCCACCATGGGTGGTGTTCATGGGGACAGAAGTCTACCTATAAAGAGCAGAGTCAGTAAGAGGCTGCTTCTCACTTTAGCCAATTGGTCTTGACTCGCCGTCGGTATCGTTTCTGGGGCGACGGAGGAAGCGATCCTTCACAGCCTGCGTGGAGGGTGGGGTTCACAGGTGCCGGCTGACATGCCGAGCATCCCTCACATCGCAGGCGCCTCTGAGTCAGCAGGAGACACAGCCGTTCAGTAATTCATGCGTGTTGATGACGCGCCATCGATGGTGTGGGTCCCCGCCCCGTGTTTCTCGGAATCGCTGTGGGGAATTGCAACATCATTCAACAATCAGGTATTAAAAATAGATGGACGGATTACGTAAGATCCATTAATTCAGGGTTAGAATATTAACATTGCTATTACTACAATTATTTGTTTGATTTATGTCTTAATTGGAGATCATCTCCTTTTGAAGTTCTTGCAAAATGATTAATTAGCTCAGAGGCTCTTTCATAAGGGTCCAACAGCCATTCCCACCTAGTAGTGCCTTGCATCAGGGATCACTCCCTATAAGAACCTCAGGACCTGTATGCTGTTATCCAATCTCTGACTGGGACCCCCAACTGGCACTAAGATTCCTGCGGCAGGGGTCACCGTCCTGAGTCCAAGTGTTGCCCTTCGGATGTCTACACCCCCACTCAGAGCAGATATGGTACAAGCTTTCAACTACGTTGCATAACCCTTAAAAAAACAGCGTTACACAACGCTCAGCTGAAAGGTGTCAGGGTGACATTTGTAAAAGCACCTCAGGCGAAACAGCGATGGCAGCCGAATGTTTCTCTGCACACGATGGGGTGAAAAAGCTCTAAACAATCATGCCATTTAACTGCAATAAACATGAGCCTTTCGACCTCACGGTCAAATTTGTTAGGAACCCTGCTGTACCAGTCGTGTCAGCTAATGGGAAATGGCAAAAGGGCAAAAATCACCCAGTGGTGTGTTTGTGGATATTTCAGCACTGCTGTGGCAAACAAGCCCCGACGACTACAGTCATTCCCAACTCGGAGATCATGAGCAGCACCGGAATTCTGATATTCCATAATCCCAGATGGCTTACAGCTCAGGTCTATAAAAGGGACCCCAGCCTGCCAACATTTAAAGGTAAATTGTGATTGTTGAGTCAAGCCTATAAATTTAAGTGCATTTGGACGTACTGGGCAGAATCCATCCTGACTTCATGTTTCTCGGACCCCAGCTGGGCCAGAAGTACCCAGACCCAGCATGAAGAAAACGGTGTCTGCTTGGGATTCTGGGATCCCGGAAGGCACTGATCCAGCCCATTATGCTCCAATTACGTCCTGAAGTGTGGCGGCCAAGCGATGGTTAGGCCGTGCGGGGGTGGGGGCGATCTGGAGGGAGAGGGAAGGCGTCTGCATGCATCTCGATCAGGATTCTCAATGTCTTCTGACCTGTCCCACTGACCATTAAGCTGGACCGCAGGTTAATATCTTCATACAGGGTAAGAGACCGACAAACCAACAGGAAAACAGACAGGCAGACTCAGAGGTCAGATGCAAATCTTACACACCTTTATTCTTTAAGCACTTTACACCACATACACAGGATATATGAACTGCGTCTTCAAAGCCTGGACTTCCCCATAATTCTATACAAACTAACCCAGCCACATCTTCCATTTGAACGTTCCGGTTCATTCTGCGCTATACTCTACTCTACCCCTACATGCTACAAACCACCTAAAGTTCAGCACTTCTCTCCTACACGTCTGACCAAGACTCTGGAGCCGGCTAGATATTCTCTAGGACTTCCCCAGAGCCTAGGTTGAGACCCAGCTTGTGCTGTTCCTACCCAAACCCATAGACTTGCTTTTCTCCACATTCCTCAAACCCTCCAGACAACATTCTGCTTCCAGCTCCTGCTTCCTTATGGCCCTACGAAGGACCCCCACGCTGAAAAATGACCCATGACACTGGAAACAAGATGGCAACAAGAAACCAACATGGTTCAGGTTCACATTTTACACGAGTAAAAAGAGACTAAAATACCTTAAAACCTACTTCTGCTTACATTTTTTTAAATGAACTGCCATGCATTATGGGAAAGGCCTTGCTGAAGCCCACAGAAATATGTGAACGGGGAATGTACAAAGTAAGACTTGACATCCAGCAATCTCAGCTTCAAATCAGACTCTACAAAGCATCTTTTTTCCAACAATTTGGAAACTTCCATCAGTATTTGATTTAACAATTTCCAATATGACTGTAAAAATACCTATAAATACTAAACCAGTGCTGTTAGATGAAACAAAGAGCTACAGTAATGTTTCTTCTTTTTTTTGGAAAATATAAAAATCTCAAACTTTTACTTACAAAACAATTGCCTTAAAATAATAATGCTTTTATACGAGACAGGGGTGGCAGACGGCCCGTGTATCTGTCCCCCTGCCCCCGGGCGGCCCCCATCTGGGACACCTCCCTCCTTAGTCCAGCGCCCGGTGTGGATCACTGACTGGATATAGCTGCCATTTTTGGCCATGGTGTCCGAGCAGTCTGACACGCGGAGCAGAGTTCATGAAGACCCCGCGCCTTCTACTGGGGTTTCATCCAGAATGCTACACCATGGTCTCCTTCCTCTTTCCCAGAGAGCTCTGAGACTTCTTCTCCTTTTTGGTTTTTGGGACACTTTTCCCAGTCGCCTTGGCAGTCTGTGTGTTCTGGGGCTCCACTGCCTGGGGGGAGCTGGGGGCGGAGTCAGGGGCGGAGTCGGCAGCCTCCGGACAGTTCTCATCGATCTCATCCATGGGAGTGTGGGCGGGGCCATCCGAAGGGCAACACTTGGACTCGGTTACCTGGGCGGGGTCCTGCGTCTCCGGGTCCCCCTGCTGGACGGCCATGGCGCTACGGAGGCAGTTTAGCCACTGCTGCTTGTGGAAGACGTCGTTGACTTGGAGGGTGTGGGACTGGCCCTGCGAGGGGTCCCGAAAGCGCACGCGGAAGATGTTCTTTGCTGTGGGGAGGAAGGAACAGGAAGCACAATGTGAACGGCGCGTAAACCAGCTTCACCAGTCTCTGTGGCCAAAAGGCACAGCATAAATAGATCTGCGCTCATTCCGTGACAAACGGCAATCTTAATGAGTTGACGTTCAGGTGTGAATCACTGATACGTTGGAAAAACGTTGGGCGAGTGTTGAGTGTGTGCTCAGAGCGTCTTCAGAGAGCTGTGTCACACCCACCTCTCTCCGCATTGCCAAAGGCCCCCCTGAAGGAGCCCCCCATGCGCACGTCCCCGTCCTGCAGGTCTTCCAGAACCAGGTTCTGGACCGGGATGGGCTGCCGGTACACCTGGAAACACTGGCGTTCTCCCCGCATCACGGGCCGGGTCAGAACCAGTAGCTCCGTGAACAGGAAAACGTGCAGCTTCTGGAGGAGACCGGTGTAAAAAGGCAGGTGATTTAGGGGATGGTTCCAGAAACGATTAATTTCCGAAAAGCCGCGGTTATCACAGAGATATTAGTCAGTGATGATATCACATCTCTAAACAAAGCTCTCAGTTCCTTTTTTTTGGAAATAGTTATTCCTGTAAACTCGGCCAGTATGGGAAGTGGCCCAGTGGGCCGGCATGTGGCAGGAGGAGGGGGCGCTCACCGTGCCGCCCTTGCCCCGCAGCTCGCCGTGGCACAGCAGGGTGCGGCACTGTGCCAGCCGCGGGTCCCGCTGCCGCTCGTCCAGGAACTCCAACTTGTCTATGTAGTACTGGCTCTCGCTCTCGCCCTTCTTCACGTCGATGTCGGACAGCACCGTCTGGATGATGGAGATCTGGGGACCGAGGAAGAGGGGAGGGTCTGAGTGAGGGGTCGCCGGGGGCGGGGCCGGATGTGGGAGCAGGGGGCGGGGCGGGGGACCTACCGCACGCTCCAGGGCGGCTGCATCGGGGTGCTCGGGGGCCGTGTGCCGCAGGATCTCCTTCAGCAGCAGAGGGTACTTGACCAGGCGGGAGCGCGGCACGTCCAGGAAACTCCATAGGTCCAGCTTGCGGCTGAAGGGCGACTCCAGGCAGCGCTGCAGGAAGTCCTGCACACGTGGGTCCTGTTTCTTCTGGTCCAGCAGTGCCTTGGCGGCCAGCTGCCGGCTGCAGTAGTCGCGGTAGGCGTTGAGGCGGGGCAGCTGTGGGCGGAGCAAAGGAGTCAGGTCACGGGGAGATCCCTCACCTCACTGTTTGTCCATGACAGACCCCTCGATGGTGATCAGTACAGATGGCTGACCTGATTGGTAAGATGGCTGACTAATGATTAAGCAGCTGACTAATAGTCTGAATGATTTGATCACATTGGCTGATTGGGATAGTGGGGTGAGGGCGGGTACTTACCCAGTTGACCACAATGTGTCCGATCTGCTCCACGGTGCCGTCAGGGCGGGTGGCCTTTGCCAACTGAGTCAGCAGGTCTGCAAGTAAGAGAAAACATTAGAAGGGCCCCGTTGGGCTTCCACCCGCCCGCCAATGCCACAGCCATGCCACAGCAGCGCCACCTTACCCTCATGGAGGGGGATGTATGCGTCCAGGTCACCAAATATGTGGCTCAGCTCCTCCTCTGACATGATTGACAGCTTGAGCATTGGGTCGTGATACGCCTGCGGACAGAGTGGGTGTCGGTCAGTCTGCCCGTTTACGTTCCTGAAAATCAGTGCATACTGGTGCAGCGTGCACGTGGCATACCTTCCGTGCAAGCTTCAGGTCGTCAATCAGGTCCTGCTCCCCCCGAGACAGCTCATGTATGGCCTGGTGATAGAGAGGCAAAACAGGGTTAAAGAGAACTACACCTCCCATGATGCCCTGGGTGTCACTCTGCTCACATGCCAGACTCACCTCCTGCCTCTTTATCTCCTTGGCAGAAAAGGTGCCTTTTTGGTGCACGTTCAGGGTCTCGGACCACAGCGTGCTGTTCCTCCTCTTGGGGGGAGTGGGTGCCGCTGCCTTGCTGCAGGGCTTCTGGGCCATGCCCGGGGACTTGCCGTCACCTCGGAAGGAGATGGACTGCGGGGGAGGGGATAAGGGTCCGTTACCCACAATGCCCCAGGCGCCGTGTAATAGCACAATCTGCCGTGTGTGTGTGTGTGTGTGAGGGGGGGGGAGCTCACCTGGATGGTCTGTCCGAAACGCCGGACGGCCCCATTTCTGACGGGGGAGATCAGGTTGGCGAGTGACGTCACCCTGCCCAGCGGTCGCACACGCTTATTACACGGTTCCTGTGAGAGAGTGAGAGGAGGAGGGACAACTGTGTGAGTGGCTGTTGGGCGGTGGGGTCAGAGTGACCCCAACTTGGGGTCACACCATCTGGGACAGCAGCTGCTAACCCCCCATGACATCAGGGCACAATGACTGCTTATGAGTCCTGTGCTGGAGGGAGTATAATGCCAGGAATGTAGGAGACCCCCACCTCAGCTGTTACCCCCCCCCCCATCCCTGCCCCCTGTTCAGTAGAGACCAGCGTGCAGTGCAGTGCAGTGCAGTGCAGTGCCAGTGAGAGTAACGAACACGTCTGCGCTCAGGCACTGCTAGGGAGTGTCACATGAGCTCAGGCTTCTGTGAGTCGTGTTGGGGCAGGTCTCGCGTGACAGCGGCCGCTGGGCCCAGCTCACCGCCAAGGGAGCTTCCAGGTGCCCTGACAGGTTACGACAGCAGCCTGCCCCCCACCCCCGGGCAGGGATCAAGGGGATCAGAGTGACTGGGAGGGCTCCATCGCTAACGGTAAGCGGCGGGTGAACAGTGTGGCGCCCTGCCCACTGGCTGCGCCGCGGCGGCGCTCATATCAGCATTTACGGTTATGTGCTGCCCCCTCCAGCGGCACACATCTCTGTGCGAAAGTGTAAATAGGGTTTGGGTGGCTGTTCACCCGAGGGGGGGAGGCGGGGCGGGGCTGCACCTGGGCTCCTAATGACAGAGCCGGCAAATGAGACAAGGCTGTAGTCTAAACACAGCGAAGCTACTTCACACGCAGCCCTGGGGGCCGGGGGCGGACGGGAGGGGGCACTAACATGAGGAGTCTAGTTGACTTCAAACAGCTCTCTGCTAGGCCACTTTGCTAACCCTGGGGGAGGCCTCATAAATCTCAGACTGAGGGGGGATGAACATTTTCCAGAGTTTGTTCTGGAACATTTCCCGACACTGTTTCCCTCCCCAAACTTCAGACAGGGCTGGTGAGGGGAAAAAAAAAAACCACAACGGGGTCTTTCAGGCAAGGGGGGGGGAGGTTGGTTCCAGGAGAGAGAGAACAGGGAGCAGCAGCCAGACAGGAAACCATCCATATGCGGAGCAGCGGTGGGCTTGCAGTCACAGATGCAGGGCTCACTGCGTTACCCAGAGCTGGACTACAAAGCAGCAACTGTACAGACCTGCATTGACGGTACACAGCTACACGGCCGCCAACACCAGTTACCCAGGAACGTCTACAAAAGCAGAGATAAACTTGCATTTTCAGCCATGAGGAAGGAAGGACTTCATGGGAGGAACAGCGAGCAAACTGCACAGGTGTAGATGGGGAACTGAGTGAATACTCAGCTGGGGTGGGGGCTGGTGTTTTCGCCCCCCAAGAGGCTGGGGGTTGGTGTTTTCACCACCCAGGAGGGTAGGGGGGGGGCTCCTGTCCTAAATCCCACAACCTCAGACATGTACAAATGCAACAGCAGTTACATAAATTGCCCCCTAGCCCTCCTCTGATGTCTTGCAGACCTTGAGCCCCCCAGGAACACCCAGCTCCTCCAAGGTGGACAGTAATTAAGGTCTTTCCCCAAACTCTCAGTGACCTTTCCCCCACATCTGCACAGTAAGGCACCTGTATGAGCTCACTGCGGAGGATGTGTTGACTGAAGGCACGTCAGCCGCGATAAGAGAGGGCAAGGCGAACAGATAGCAAAGATACAAAACAGGTGCTGTCGGTTCTCAGCCAATCGCAGGAAACATTCATAAAGACCTTTGAACGGCCTCAGAGGAGCATTTAGGACAGGGCAAAGGAGCCATCTCACCTCAGACTCTTTGTAGGAATGGTTCTGCTGGTCGATCACTTGCAGTGTCCGTTTAATAGGCACCAGACTTCCCAGTTCATCGTAAGCCACCATAGCGTCTGCCCAATCCCCAGTTATTCTTTTGCTTCTTCTGGTAATCCGCAGTTAACAAACCAAGTTTAGAAACAAAAAAGGCAGCCTGCTTGGTTTTGTTCTGCTCCCACTGTAACTTCACATCCAGTGCGCACACACACAAACGCGATGGTATCTGTTACATTCTCCCTGCTCACTGTGATCTGATGCCCAGGCAGAAAGGAAGGCTTAAGTACTGAGGCAGGGAGGGGCCACAACAGCCTGCGATGTCATTGGCTCCAGGAATGGCTAGGGTGTGTGGCTTAGCAGAACGAGCAGAGCCTCGTGCTTTATACAAGTTAAATATATGCAGACTACACTGCCAAGAATCTAAACGGTCAGGGCCAGTTTTAATTAATACATGCTGATTAGTTTTACTGAATTACTGCCAATGTACCATAAAATAACAGGAGTACTGCATTTAACAGGAGTACTGCATTTAACAGGAGTACTGCATTTAACAGGAGTACTGCATTTAACAGGAGTATTGCATTTAAAGCACTTTTTTTACAAAGGGGGTAAATATACGTAAAATGTTAAGGCTGGAAAAGCGGTTCAGGTGAATGCACAACACAACATGAAGTCATCAGGAGAAGAACTGGGAGGGGGGGGCAGGCCACTTGCTGAGGTATTAATTTGCCATCAAGTATTAAATTTCTTACCCGTTCCTGGGGGCCCTTTTCGTTCCCCCCACCTTTTGCTGGTCTGGCCTAAGGTGGGAGTCTGTTTGTTATTCGGTGTTTGTGTGTTGGGGAGAGAGAGCGAAACGGCCCATTAGACCGTCAATAGAGAGCCCAGGGGGGGTGGCTCACACAGCGACTGTCTGCATTAGCACTTGTGTAGGGGGGGTTCATGGGAGGGGGGGTGATACAGGGTGTGTCTGGGTTCGCCTGGACCTGCGGGCTTCCTGCAGCGACCTGCGTTCACCCAGATCTCATGACCTTCCAAAACATACTTAGCTCAGATCCTTCCTGATCCATGGCACCAAACCAAACCTGCTGATCCGTTACAGTACCATACCTGCTAATAGTGTGTGGTGTACACTCACTTGTCCTTACACCAGATTCCTCCACAGTACATTGATCATTATTGTATTATTATTACTATTATTGTGAGTTATTATAGTGGAAGTTCTCATTGAAAAGTCTGCACTAGGGTACAACAGAAACACGCCTGCTGGGACCATAAGCTGACTGCCTCAAGGTCACAGCCCGGTTCTCCCAAAGCCACTGGCCTTCATTCCCACTCATTTATTTATTTAGTCTTATCTAGAATTAGAACAACGTGAAACCTTCATAGCTCGATGCAGCCAGATAACGCTGGTGTGAACAGTAACGCAGAGACCCCCCCGAGACGCAGGCAGAGAGACGTGAGACTGGGAGCGACTGTATCGCCACTGGACAATTTGAGAACGAGCGGGGGCCATCAAAACAGCACATCTTTATCTTGCGGCAAAGCGAGGTGGACGGCCCGTCAAAACAAAACCTCCTCTTGAAAAAAACATCCTTGTTATAACAAAGTGGAACAATGTGCCACTAGGCGCTGCCCTCAGTGCATTCCTGGTTGCTACCAAACAGACCAGGTAACCAACAAAGCGCAGCTGCGTCACTCAAGGCCCTCCCAGGTTCTGACCAATGGGACGCCTTGTCGTCAGGTTCGGGTCATGGTGCCCTCCCAGACTCGGGCCAGCGGGACGCCTAGCTTTCAGATTCGGGCCAGCGGGACACCCCACAGTCGGGTTCCGGTCACGGCACCCTCCCAGGTTCGGGCCGGTGGGACACCTTGCCATCGGGTTCCGGCCAGCGGGACACCCCACAGTCGGGTTCCGGTCACGGCACCCACCCAGGTTCGGGCCGGTGGGACACCTTGCCGTCGGGTTCCGGCCAGCGGGACACCCCACAGTCGGGTTCCGGTTACGCAGCCCTCCCAGGTTCGGGTCGGTGGGACACCTTGCCGTCGGGTTCCGGTTACGCCGCCCTCCCAGGTTCAGGCTGGCAGAACGCCCCGCAGTCGGGTTCTGGTCAGTCTGTGTATGCATATCTATATGCGCTCCCCATGACTCAGGACTGGCTGCTGGGGGCATGGCCATTGCCTTGAGTCCCCAAGGATAACCCGACCCAGTGCAGTCCCCCCCTTCCCCATGTCAGGATCTAGGTTCTCTTTACCTGTAACAACTCGCGTAGGGGACATGGGATTGGGGCAGGATCCAGTGGGGGGGTGTGTCTAGGGCAGGGGTGCCCAATACATCGATCGCGATCTACTGGTCAATAGCAAAGGTAGTCTGGGTAGATCGTATGGCATTCAAAAAAAAAAATAGAGGATGGATGATGCGATCAACCACGCCAGCTGCTACAAGTCTTAGCAGTTAGCATTCAATTTACCCAGTTAGCATTCAATTTATTTCTACTAAACTTAAGAAAGGGTATAAAAATGAATGGGGGAGCTGGATCAAGTAAGAAGCCAAAAACCTACCACTGTTTTTTTTCCACCATGTCATATTCGAAGTGTGTTTGCCTCATCTGTCAGTCTACCACTGCTATTCCGAAGAAGGGAAATGTGGAGCGGCATTTTCGGACTGTTCATAAAAACTACGACATTAACTTCCCTCCGAAAAGCGAGCTGAGAAAGAGAAAGGTGAAGGAACTAAAATCCCAGTTCAATTCAAAAATACTTTATTTATCCCAAAGGGAAATTAATAATAAGAACAGTAATAATAATTATAATAATAATAATAATAATAATAAAGAATACTCAATAATTTTATACATAAATATATGTTTTGCATTTTCATAGTAGGTAAATCATTTTGACTTGGTCATTTATAAGTAGCTGGAAAAGTGTGGGCACCCCTGGTATTGGGGGAGTGAACTACCCTGCACTCTCCCAAATGATCAGTTCCCCAGAGGTGAGTAAACACCATGCTTCACTTCCAGGTGTAATATTTAGACAGTGTGACACCCGCTTAGTGTTGTGTTTGCCCTGAGTAAGTCACGGCATGAGCAGTAACTGTGGGCACAAAGGAGGACTCTACTGTGCTGTGCTGTGATCCTTCTAGAGCTTTCTGCAAAAACCTCATTTTGTGATTTCAAGGCAGCCTTCTTGCTGGCATGGTGTGTAAGGGGACCGGGCTGGACACTCACTTTGAAATCAAAACTGCACAGGCTGACGGCATCCTCCTCCTTCTCCCGGCGCTTCCTCTTCTGTGAAGAGAGAACAACAAGGTCATTTTGGGGCACACTTGGCTTGGGCATTCTGCTGGTAACATTTCTCTGTGGTTGCCCGCCACCCCAAAGTTTTTGCTGTCCTATACCCCATTCTCACACACACTGAAACCCGTTTAAATATCACTATTTTACCGCTATGGTGTGGGAATGAAAGCAAAACAGTAAAGTCTACCCGCTAATCTACCCCCTGGAGACCTAGTAAACTTTAGCGGTAGCTTTATGACACCAGTGTGAATGCGAAATGAATGAACGTGTCGGAGAATGGCAGAGGTGGTTGTGGTGGGGGGGCAGGTGGTAACTTCTCCCCCTTTATTGACTACAGTATCGTTGAGTGAAGCACTGGAGACAGAAGAACTGCTGAGGACTTAATTTAGCAACCCCTAAAAAGCACATAGTCATAACTCACTGAAACATAACTAGCGTATATTAATTCATACAATTATTAAGTGTTCATTTACCTCCATAGACAGAGAAGGAATACGTCATCACAAAACAACAAACAACAACAATAATAACAACAACAACATGTACAACAATGGCCTGTCCACTGAGTAAGTGCCCAGCCTGGTGCCCTTAGACACCATGCCAATGAGAAGGTCACATTGCCCCCACATCAACCCTCTAGATCCACAGGAAACACTCTGCAGTTTTTTCATACCGTCTAGACATTTCACCCCGGTATACTGTATATTACGGTATTTAAAAAAAAAACATAAATGATGTAGGCTACTGTAAACAATGGAATAAGAGAGAGCTTAAAGGGGCACATCAGTGTGGAAGCTGAGGGCTAGGGACACGAGGAAGCAACTCCTCGCTGAAGAGTTACAAACATCACCCTTCGTTTATTGGGTAACGCATTACATTAACTGCACCTTCATAATGCTTTTATATTACAGTCATAAAATGTTCAGTGCACCTTAATGTATTCATTAAGTATTCATAAAACATCCATAAACATCATGTATGTATCCTAACATCCTTTAACAGCTGTAATACACATTAATAACAAACATTATACAATAATAACAAACATTATCATTGTATATCATGTAATGTTTGTTATTAATGAATAATAAAGCTGTTAAGGGGTATTAGGATGTTAAGGTGTACTTGCATGCTGCTTATGAATGTTCTATGAATGCATTATGAAGGTATCCCGCATGCCACACATGCTCTAATAGTTTACGCCACACCCATGGTGTTCTTGCGGCGTTAGCCACGGCATGCGCGTTAACCTTTGACCTTTTTTTTTTTTTTTTTTTAAACTTGCATGATGCTCCAAGCTAACACCGGTCACTGCAATGCATCACCTAAACACCAAGCCTAACACAGGCCTCTCTGTGGAAGCCCCAATGCTGAGCCTGTTTAGGGGGACATCCGGCACTAAAGGTGTGGTACCCCCCCCCCTCAGCTCTTCAGAATCACACAAGGTGCTTAAATCCAACGCTTCGTTATCCGCGGATCTCAGGAAATCAGTGGACTGATTAGCGGCTATTCCCTTACAAAGCTTCAGGAGAGAGCTGGAAGGATAAAAACCAGGAGGTGACGTTTCACCCCCCAGGCCTGGGGTGATGCTGCATAACAATGCACAGCAGAAACCATTCAGTAGGCACTATTAATGTGCTAAATATGCAGGAACAACAAAATGAGACTGGGTGGGGGTGTCTGACTGCACAGCCTTCAGAATGGGACGCTGGTCTGAAACGTGGGCCTGCTGAAGTCCAGTGCAGTCTGGCTCATGTCACATGCGAGGGGAATTACAGGGTGTCCTACAGGAGGTCACGCCTTTTCCCATGAAATTACCCAAGCAGTTTAATTACCTCACTCAAGGCTAAACAGATTGCTGGTCCTAGTTAGCTGTGCAGGACAGGAGACTACGGAGTCACAGCCTAGCATCCTGGGGGAGTGTGAGAGTCCACCGACTTCTACACAGCCTCAAGCAGCCATCAAACACAGCCTCCCAGCACAGCCGAGACCCTTGGCCCACCTTATCCCTGTACCGTGCTGAATAATATGGACTAAGATACTGCTTCATGTGGATACCACTTGCGGCACAGAACACACAAAAAGCACGATCGCACAGCACGATGGAGCTCATGATTAATGTCCTATTTTGTGGTTTATTTGGAGCCATTTTGGATGCGATAACACACGACCCTCACAGATTTATTGAGTATGCAATGCAGCGATTTTCATTTTATCATGGTGCACATGAACACGAACATATTTTACCAAATATCTCGGAACTTTCGATGCGGCATCCAGTTGTTCCTGGAAACTCTCGTCAGCCAAAACTGCACCTCTGCCGTAGACCAAAGTGATCCATTAGCCATCATGTTGTGTAAAGGTCTATTTTTAAAAAAATTCTTTTTATATCAGGGCTTTAGGTAATAAGCTTAGAAATATATCTGAATGCTGGCTTTTCAGTACTATATGCCTAAAATACTAACGAGAGGTGTATAAATGCAGCGTATCCTTATATTTATTAAATTCAGTTAGGGGAGCAGGCCATGTGTTACTGTTTTGGTATATCAGCTAAACAATGACGATCTCTCATCCCCACATCCAGGTGAGGTCAGTCTCAAAAGGAACATCAAAACGACAGGTGTCAAAAACCTGGGCAGACCTCCAGCAGCTGGGGAATTAGCGTACCCAGCCTTTGTTCCCATGATGCCTCACAGGAGCAGGAACTATGTTCCACTGCCAGAATACACAAAGCAGTCACTCATTTCCATGACAAAACCCGCCAGGTATGCACACAGGGGAAGATAGAGAGATAGGGACAGACGGCATATTAATCCTGCACATCCGCAGGGGCTCGCGTACGTCGCTGCAGTCGCTGTCACATTGTGGAATGTTTAGTTTTCCCTGGAGCTTCTCCTCGGAGGTGCAAGTGAAACGCATGGAATGTCCAGGCTGTTAAAGGACCAGCAGCTGGCTTTGAGGAAGCAGCTGACGATCCTCCGCTTGTGTTCACAGCTGGAAGGAGCTGAGGAGAGATCAAGAGGCCGACGACGTGGAATACCCTGGTACCTCCAGGATGCAATCCTGAACATTCCCACCTTGATCCATTTCAGAGAGACAGACTTGCTCCCACATCAAAGCCGTTATGTTTTCTGAAAACCATCCACCTAATTTTTGGTCCAAGCACAGGGGGAGATTACGGCCAGCGCAGACTCTGAAAACCTTTTCTGGGTTGATCAAATGACACAGATAATGATAGTTGATCTGTAAGCATTATGAACAGCATGTGCTGGGCAGATTAAAATCAAAGGTAGGCTTTGGCAGGAGAGGAAGCGATCTGCTGTTCCTTGGTTGCCCAGGCCAAGATGAAGGATGGACTAGAATGCAATTTACTGGAAACCAACCTAGACCGATCTGAAGAAAATGCATGCAATGTTGACTTCGGCCCAGCTAGTATCTTTGAAATTAGTGGACACTTTGGTGCCTTTAATAATGGAGAATTTGGGGTGCATGGAACGGTCCCAAATGCGTCACTGCAGGGATAAGGACAACAGAAAAGGCAGCTTTTACGCAAACCATATTACACGAACATGTTTCTGACAGTAAACCAACATATTCTGAGAAATAACATAAAGATCAGGGAACGCCCAAACTTTCTTATAAGGTCCTAGCAAACTGAAGAATTTCTCCCTGGCTGGTGAAGTTATACAATCATAAATAATTCCTGATAGGTCTGCACGATACCACATTGCATCATAATTGCGATTATATGGCACATGTGCAATAATCACCAGGGCTTTAGATGACAGGCATAAAAATGTGTCCGGACGCTGGCTTTTTGGTACTATACGGACGTTTACTTATGCCACAATTTGGTAAGCAAATTAGTATGCCTAAAATGAAAAGTTAGTAATCTATATAAATTCAGTGTATCCTTATGTTTAATAAATGTGTTGGACTTTAAACTACAGCACCCAGGTTACGGAAATTCTTCCCGGTTCTTGCAGAACTTGGTAGTGCCCTGTCAGCCTTTCAATCTTCACATTCAAAGAGTCTTCACTCCAACACTTCACTTAAAGCAGTCATATAAGTGCATTATAATGCATTCTTAAAGTATTATAAACACAGCTATAAATATTTATAAAAACTTTCATAATGCATTATAATGGCCAGTATAAAATTAATGCTTTGCACTGCATTATGAAGGTATTTATAGTGCATTATAGCTGAGAACATTCATAATGCATAAAAACATGGCTATAATGTATGTCTTTTTATAATTATAGTCATGTTTATAATACTTTATGAATGCATTATTGTGCATCATGAAGGTATCTATAATGCATTATACATGACTGCTTTAAAGTAAAGTGTTGCCAAAGTCTCCCACCATCAGAAAAATCTCGCTTATCAAACTATTTTCAGCAGGGGGTCACAGCCCTGTCCCTGCAGGCTTCCATATGAGAGAATGCCAGATTAATGGCCAAAGCACCTCATCATTTGATGTGCTCCAGAAATGATACCTTCTGTGCGGCATTAGAGAGCTCAGGTTAAGTGAATGAGCACTTTCAAAGGCCAGTATGAGATCCCCAGGTAACACTAAGCCTCAGGAAGCCATTTCAGACGTCGTTACTTGCTGCAGTTTCACATCATACCAATAGGGGTGTCCAAAAACATTAGCCTCTGACAAGGTCCAAACGAAGCCGGGCACAGAGCCTGTACCCTTGGATCCCGCGTAGGAAAAGCTGCATTTCTTCATTTTGGTGCTAAAGTACTCGGAGAAGAGTTCCTGTCACCTTGGCAGCCGTGAGGCAGGCCGGAGCGAGAAACACAGCGACACGGAACACCAGGAAGGTTTCAACCTCTTTCTTGTCTCACCGATGACAGCTGGACACTGGCAGCTCAGACTGGACCCACAAGCTACTCTCGGTCTGTACGAACTCCAGAGCTAGGCCCGGACCTGCCAGCCCTGACATTCAGCAGAGCTGGAACAGGGAGACAAACACAGTGAAGCACGAGGAGAAACACAGACTAGCCCAGGACATCCCAACCAGCCAAAACACTGATGCGACCTAATCCGGTTACTTCTTAAAACAAAACTACCCTGGAACATTCCGGTCACACAAAGACAACTGTCCCAATCCCCTACTGTTCCCAAAAAGTATCACAAGAAGGTATCCCGGTCAAAGCTGGCGCTAAGCTGTGCCTTCTGCGTGGAGTCCCAGACGACGTGCTCCGACAAACGTTGTATGTCACTGCTGATAAGATAGGACTTAAATGCTAACAGTATAGCTAAGCACCAACGTCCGCTCCTGATACCTGCTTATCTCCCTGTAATTCGAACAAAGCATTCACCTCATGCCTCTTCTTAGCCGTGCAGATCTAAAGATGGCTTATGCTAAGTAAATCAATAGCTGAAGTGGTAATACCTGCTGTGAGGGCATGGTGGTTAGGGAGCCACATATGTAGCATGTGGTACAGTGGTAGTGTTAGGGACTAGTTTTGATGCTGCATTGGTTTTAGTGGTGGTGAGGGGGGGGGGGATAGGGTTTAGAACATTTTAGTACCGAGTTAGGTTCAGCAGATGTGCTGGCTCTCAGCCATACTCACCAGGGAGAAATCCCACTGAGGTCCAGGGGTGAGAAACGTGAAGGAGCTGCCTCTGCGCAGTGTAGGCCTGTGGTTGCAGAAAGAAAGACACCTCAGCACCACTGCTTTACCAGGTTAATCCCACAGTCAAAAGGAAAAAGACGTTCGCAGCCCATTGTAGCCAAGCTCTTTCATACCTGTACTGCAGCCCCCCCGATTAGCAATACTAATTACTGACATCTACTACATCTGCAAACTGCATCGCTAATCTATTTTGGATCACGCTCCCCAAAGGTTAATGCTAAATATGACAGAGATATGAAAGCCATACCCTGAAAACTTCCCAGCGGCTAATGCTACATATGACACAGATATGAAAGCCATACCCTGTGAACTTCCCAGCGGCTAATGCTACATATGACACAGATATGAATGCCATACCCTGCGAACTTCCCAGCGGCTAATGCTACATATGACACAGATATGAATGCCATACCCTGCGAACTTCCCAGCGGCTAATGCTACATATGACACAGATATGAATGCCATACCCTGCGAACTTCCCAGCGGCTAATGCTACATATGAAAGAAATATCAGAGCTGTACCCTGCAAACATCCCAGAAGCTAGCACTACGTACCACAGTCCCAGTCTGCTGTACCTCGGTCCCTTCTGTGGCCACCCAGGCCACTGCATCCTATCTCTGGGCAGAAGACTTTAATCCTGAGGAACCAGAATCGTCTACCACTAAAGCTCGGCAAGTATAAATCAGAACCTCTCGTTTTCTTGACCTATCTATAGTGCAACCCCTGCCCCCATCAAGGAAAGGGTCACCCAACTCTGTGGGGACTAATTTTGGGCTGGGGGAACAACTGGTCTGTTACTACTATTAGGTCAGATTACCCCCTACTCAGTGCTGCCTCAATCAGGCATGTATTAGGCAACAAAGGTATTGGAACGGTAGCACATCAAATGGGGGTATTACTAAAGGACCACGGGATCAAATCACTAAATATGCGCTTCCCCATCTTTCACAGAACAATGCAAAAGCATTGCGATTAAACAACATGGCACTGACAACTATGTAACTCATATCTTGTTGGCAGTTAGATGGTGAGGAAATGGAATCTTAACTATCACCTCCATGATCTGACTTTCAAAGGAGACACTGAACGTTTCTACACACCTTCACACAGATTCATTCACAATGGGGGGGTGGGGGTTAAACAGTACCTGTCTGTTTGCCTGAGACAGCCATCAATTTTTGAATGGATCACTGGAGTGGCCAGCTGACAAGCATTATCATGTTGCTCCAACAATCAGTTACCTTTATTGATATTATTGTGGATTATTCTTTTACCACAGCATAAGGCTACCTAAATGGAAGTTTGAGATGTGACAGTGTGATCAGATTGTGACAAGACTCCCAAAAACTCTAGTGAGAGTCAAAGCTTTGGAGTCCCTAACTGCAAAACACAACTGAACACCCAAGGATGGTCTCATCAAGCATTCTCTGTGACTCTCAAAGTAGATCCCTCCATCTGCTGACATCAGTTCCTAGGATATTTTGAGGCTGGTATCGTGAACTGTTCATAGCTATGTGAATGACAGCCCTAGTGCAGAATGAGGAAACTGAACCTAAAGCCTAACAGATCTGGACATCTACATCTTTTGGAGAAATAAACAGACAAGATAGACACACCTGAAGTCCTAATTCTCTCAGCCTTCTAAACACAAGCTCTGTGGAGAGGGTCCGTTGTATCACTGCCTGCAGAGGCTGTTAAGAAGAGGACAGTCACTGCGGTCAGACCCTATAGGTCGAAAGGTTGAAACCCTTTAGGTGCTTTCAGGTCCTGGAATGTAAACCTGGCTTAAATATATTTGCAAAGATGGTATGCTCATCCCCAGAAATAGCAGATACACTCATTTTATAAAGGCCACCCATATGTGCCAGGGCGCTGAACTCAGATACCTTATTTTGTCCTGTATTTTTTTAGCAGGAATCTATATAAAAACTAATTGTTTAACTTGTTAACCACTTGTTAACCGCCTCACACATTTATGGGGTTGGATATGTCACGGAAACGATTCCTGTACCCCATTTAACTAGAGAACGAACACCCAGACCACCCCAGAGAGATCTGAACCTAAAACCTTTTTAAGGTCAAATGAAATGCCTAAATGCGTGGCACCTGCTGCCACCGAGGAATTAAAAACGAGTCAGGTGATGACATCCTGGTCACGGGTTCTGCATCTGGCACACGCACACAGCGTCAGGCCGGTCATCATAGACGCCAGCTCTTTCCGCTTGAGAAGTCTAGTAAAACCTAGCGTCTGTGCAATAGCTATAGAGGTGGCAATGTGCATACACCAAAACTACAGCACCGGAGACATGCCCCCAATGCATGATTAACACGCTTATCAGTTAGCCTTTGTCTCCCTTGGAAAACATCCCACTCTTTCCACACCCATCCCACTCTTTCCACGCCCTGAGCTTTGACTCGTCATCCGACTGTATTTTCTGTGTGCCTGTCCCGTTGCCATGGATCATCATTTAGGTTCTGCTCTGTGCACCTTTTTTGTGCTCAGATGTCAAGCGAAGCACCAAGCTTAGCTTGGAAAACTTTTGTGCTCCACAGTAAGACCCAAACAAACCACAAGTGTTTGCGGTCAATCATGAGAGCGAGGCGCTCATGTGTCCCCACATGTCATTTCTCAGGTTTGCTGTTTGACGAACATCTCAAGGTATCACTTTTCAATTTCAGAATTAATCAGTGGGTGTCCTCTTCGTCTCCTTGGCATGGGGTTTGTGATCTGTAGGTCCATACCGCTGTCTGTCAAGCATCAGCTCCACCTCACCCATTACAAGTGCCATCAATTCAGAGGAAATCAGAACTGAAAAAAGCCAGTACCATTTTCAAGTGTGCAAACATTAAAACACGGGAATGTCATTTTAAAAAGTTAATCCAAAATAAAAATTCACTGCCACAGTGATCAGAAGAAATGGCAGAGATTCACTGTGCATGTATCATTAAATAACATCAGAACATGATATTTGTCCTGTAGACCCAAGACTAGGTCCACATCTTTAAAAAAAAAAACAGCTTCGCAAATGAAGGGTGAGGCCCTGGTCCTGTAACACTTAAGCTGCTTAAAACGTGACAGTGCAGTGAACCCAGTGTCAGTCTCACAGGCTAAAAGCTTCATCTAAGCCTGAGATGATGTAAAGGAACCAGAACCGCACCATAACGCACTGCTGCCCCTGTGCTCTGCCCGTGTTCTACCCCAGCATAACCGGCATTTAGCAACCGGCATTTAGCAACGGAACCCTTCTCAGCAGATCGTAATGCATGACCACCCCGAAACAGAACACTTCTTTATTCGTAAAAAATTTAAAACAACCAGTTGGACAAAAAGTCTCAATTAAGCGATCACCAGGTAAATTGCATGTAAAGGTCAGCTGTACCATGAAAAAATAAAGGTGCAAGCACAGGAAAAGGAGTATTTTTGTGATGTCCCCATGTCTATATAAGATTATATATATTATATATACTTCATGTCACTACTCTGACTGAATGCTAAACAAATTTGCATCCTATTGCATCATATTGAAGTGGTACACCAATGCATAGAAATATCCAATATATTTTCTGGTGGTTTGGATTTAGAGGGTATTCTCATTTAATTATTAGTTCTTTTCTTAATTACTGTTCCAACTGTTTCCTATAAAAATTTAAAAATGCAAGCATGTTGTTCCTATTGTCTGAGGAGCATTGGCTTAGAACCTTCACATCCATAATGAAAAATGTCACATCCATAAAGCCAGTTTTTCCTTACTCCCCCCCCCCCCAAATCTATGCTTTCATTCAAGTCTCTTTCATGTTAGACATATAATGCTTTCAGCAACAGACTTTAAAATGTAAAACGTTTGCAGAAAATCTGTAAGTAATGTGTTAATGCATTATGTCTTGTCACTTATGTGTTTTTTCAGAGTCTAAAGCCAGGTAACCCTGCATTTCACTGCACACTGTACCAGGTATAGCTGGTGTAACAAGACTTTGAAACTTGAACCCCCTTGAAAGTGAGACATCCGTAATGTTGATAACATTCCATTCATTTCTAACATGCAAATTGGTAGATCATTTTTATAAGATTTGTCTATATTCAAAAGGTTACATGACAATATATGCAAATTTACTCTTGGCCAAGCTCTGGGGCATTTTGTTTGCCAATGAATATAAATATCATATGGCATTAATAGGCATCATTGTGGGCTGGTGGCTCCTTCCCGTCTTTGAAAGGTTCTCTGCTATGACCGAATTAATTTGTACTTCGGAGACGTTAGTACGAGTCCGCGCTTGACCCGCAGCACGGTGCATTAGTATGCAGCGCCGCCTAGTGATAAAACAAAATATCAAAATAAATATTAGATGAGAAATACGAATAATATGAACAGTCCTAAAATTAAACGATCTAATCACTCGTATGTGTAAATATATTAGGTGATCAACGCAATACAGCGTTAACATTGGTTTAGCAATTCGTAATTAAACCCATTTTTAAATGTACAAATGGTCTCCTTCCAAGGGCCTTTAGTTAAATGACCACCACGACCCTTTAAATGGAGCGGAACCGGACATCGTCATCGGCTTCAGAAGGTGAAGCGACCCTCAGCAAGTCTGCAAGCCTTCAATATCTAGAACCACACCATCATCATCATTTCACATTATTTCCTGCTTTAAAATCTGGATGCACGTTCAACCTGCCGAGTCCACGAAAACACGACGTCAACATACAGGAAAATATTAAAGTAAATTAAAAAGTAAACTAAGATCGAAGTCATCGGATCGTCGATCAGTGATTAGTGAGAGGCGATAATTCGATCGACCGATCGCTCGGGGTATTAGTCGTCGCCGGATCCTTTTGTCCACGTTTTTCGTTTCCATTTTTCTCTTTATCCCGAGTACCTCTTATCGCTGGCTCTTTCCCTCACGCCACACTCTCACCGTTTCGACGCCTTGCTAGTCCTGCTCCCCGCTGGGGTTTCGGGGACGGCGAACGACCCTTCCTGCGCTCCCTCCGTGGAGACCCGGGGCTCTTTTGCGTCATCCATGTTGGCTGCGTGGAAGTCTGTTGGCGGCGGATAAAGGTGTATAAACCGGCGATTTATGAAATTAATTTTGATCTGGGGAAGGGGGGTGGGGGGGAGGACGAAGACAATCAAGCGGTTGAATTCAAACTAGTGACAGCAAAGATTTGAAAATGGCGGAAGAATGAGCGGCAGCCAATCAACGTAGATGGGGCGGGGCGTTGGCAGGAGACGGCATAAGTGGGGGGTGCCTCTGCTAATGTGACACGCCCCCTCGAAGCTGATTGGCTTATGGCCAGACGACGCTTCCAACGCGGATTATTCAGACTACCTCGGCATGTTGCTTTGGAGCAGTGGCAAAAAGTAACTGAGACCGAAGCCGACGGTAAAAGGTAACTTCACTTTATATTACGTTCATTTCCAGCCAGTTACGATAAATTTGATAAGTGACATTTATCCTCCATCCACCGGTGTATCTCCCCCATTGTTAATGCTTGGTCATTTAACTATTATTATCTATTTAGTAAATCCAAGTTGTCAATGTATTAGAATATGAATACTTTTACTATGCCGGAGGAAATTGTAATTACAGATTGCAAAGTATACAGCTACGCAAAAGACGAAAATACACAATAAACAATGCTACATCTAATACTGTAATTTCTATATAAAAATGTTAGTCGACGTATTAACATACATTAGTATAAATAAACAATTAAATATTCACTTGTCTTTCATGTTTGGGCTATGTCACTATACTGGGTTTCAGCGTTAGCGAAAAATGTTTAGTATATGAAACTAAGCATTAGCTTGCTAGCCCACTGAGAGAGTGCATGTAGTTGGCGCTGTAGGGTTTTTTCCTGGCTGGTTATGAGTATCACGTTTGCCTTTACAAAACCATCAAGCAGACCAAAGACCACGCTGACCTCCATGCTATCAGTCTGTAAGCCTGAAGCTGTGCAGGAGTGGCTGAAATGGTCGCAGGAGAGTCCTTCTCAAGGTAGTGTCTTGGGCATACCTACCCTTAGAAAGTTTTATCTGGAGTATTCTTTACCTTTTAGAATACATTGGCAGAGTGATTCCACCATTCGGCCCTTGAGTAAGGCCCTTAATCCGTCTTACACCAGGCACTGGCTGACCCTATGGTCTACACCAGTTTCATGAGGCGGCCTCCTGGGATGCTTTTCCAGCCATCCTGAAGAAGTTCCCACATATGCTGAGCACGCATTGGCTGCTGTTCCTTCAATCTCTGGTCAAACTCCTCCCAAACCATCTCTACCGTGTTTAGGTCAGGTGGCCAGGTCATGTGATGCGACACTCTATCACTCTCCTTTGTAGGTTGCTTGGCATGTCCAAACTTTTGACTGGTACTGTATATACCACAGGCATGACGTGTTTCCAAATTGCCTCGGCACGTCTGTGGGTCCTTGAGCAAGGCCCTTAACCCCCAGCTCCCTGGGCGCCGCTACGGGTGGCTGCCCTTCGAGGGAGGCATAAAGACAATTTCCCCACTGGGATTAATAACGTATCAATTATTATTATTAAGCAACAATAGTACAGTTATTGTTCACTGTATCACTGCCGTTCCTAATAGGATCGTCCCAAATAGGTTAACAATGTAACAACACTGCAAGTGGAGTTCAACTAAAATAAGGGAAACAGCATTAAAGATATATTTCTGTACAGTAGAAAGTCACCTGTAACCTCGAGCTAACAGGCTGTTACTGAGGTAAGAAAGCGGCATAGGAACATGTGAGTGTTGTGTGGACACCATTTGGGAGTACTATGTATTACTGAATTTCCATAGTCCGGGCATTTATTTGGCACTTTCGATTCATTAGAATTGCTAATGGCTTCACTAATGCCGTCATTTCCATTTGAAAGAGTGCTGTCAGGCTGGTCTACCGGCACACGTGTGTGCAGCGCAGCACCTCGCTCCACTGCTACTGCGTTTCTATTTAACACCAGGACAGACTGCGGCTAAATAAAACAGCTAAGAGCTGAGGTCTGGGCTTGCGTGGTGGGGGCAAGGGGCCCCATCTCGGTATCTTCCAGATCTCTCTGCAATCTGAACAGCAACACAAAATATATACCTCAAATAATAATGGACAATTCAGGGTTTGTCTTGAAAGCAGCCTCCATATATTATACATAAATGGATCTCTCCAAATATTTTCAGAATTGCTTGCGTGATAATGGCCCTACTGGAGTGGAGTGAGTCACACTGACGCTGCTTTAATGTCCCAAAGAGATGTGCGTGCATTTCCCAGTCTCTCTGTGGGGATCCTATACGCTAGGCTTCTCAATTCTCATTCATATCTTTCTTCAATTATACTACATTTTTTACACTATTTTAGTAATCTTATTTACTATTTATATCTTTGATGCATATTTATTTTGCATATTGCTTACATAGTTTTATATTTATATATTTCTATTGCATCGGCTTTGGAATTCATTAACATTATCTCACTGTGTGTAGCCCAATGGCAATAAAACCTTTGAATGCTATTGTAACCTGCATTACAGCATTGCTAATATATAGTCGTATTGAAGCTGACCATGGAAACATGATAATAGATGTTACACCTCTTATACATTATAGGGCCAGTGGGTCATGGTATCTCTGCAGGACACATGCAAATTGACAGAAACTTTGTGGTCATGTTGTTTACTGGGCCTCTAATGAAAAGGTGGGAATGATCTGCAAGCAGTTTATACCACCATGTGTATTGTTAGAATATCCAGTCTCCCATGTGGTGTCCCAGTTAGAACCATACTGGAGAATGCTTTCAAAGAAAGGACACTGTTCAGCATGTAAAATAGATTTCAAATGGCTCATATTGGTCCGGTTTCTTATTACTTTCCTTTTAGCTAGATTTCCCTCAGACATCTTCAGTTCGGCACCGATCACTGAATGATTGTGACGTGACAAATCAAATCTTGGCAGTAACCTTGAGAGACATTAGAGGTAAAAGGGAAACACTGACAGACTTATGGGATGCAGAAATGATCGAGAAGGTTAATGGCCACGTTGGCATTCAGCTCAGGCTGCGTGGTGTTCAGGAGACACACACAGGTCATGGTAACTGTCCCTGTGCGTTACGGCGCACCAGGTCTCAGTTATTTTGTGAATAGTATGTAAGTGCGAGAGCCGTACTGGACTGGCATTAGATCCAGGTGTTTCCGCTGCTTCCCGCCACGCTTTAGTCTACCCCCACGATCCTGTATCAGATACGAAGTTCATAGAAGAGAGGTATATAATTTATATGTATCTGCTACCATCAAGATACCAGACAAAAGAAAAATTATGAAAGTTCTCAAATTCATGCAGGTTTCATTTTAAAAAATAGTCAGTCACCTTACAATTTCAACAATGTTTAACAGTCATTTTAGACAGACACTCTTTTATTATCATTGCACAGAGTACAACTAAATTCTGCAGTAGTGCAAATGGTACATTCACACGTAACATAGTAATTATAAATAGAATCAGAAGTATTACCAGACTGCAATACAGAAAAATTGATCTATTAACACTATCTGACATATGACATCACACAAGACATAATATAATAAACCTAATAAACTATGTATTGGGACATGATATATAGCAGATAGTTGTGCCGTTGCACTGAGGATGCTGCGTAATATTGATATTCCCCAAGAATGTCATTGATGGTATATGTAAACATAGTGGTATTGAAGGTGCAGCAAATGCAATATAAGGTGGTTACATGTAAACATTTGCAGTGCAGTCTAAAATGTATCCGTGTACAAGGGTTAAAGTGACTGTAGTGACCAGTGATATAAGCAGACAGACCTACTTGTCAGTGTCAGTGTTTGACAATGTTCAGTTCACAAATAGCTTTGGGGTAAAAGCTGTTCCTAACTCTGTTTGTCTGTGATGTGATGGACCTGAAGCGTCTACCAGGGGGCAGTAGCTCAACACAGCATGTATACCATTTCAAAGCATTTTATAATTAATGTAAAGATGTAGGTGTCCCCACCACAGCACAAGGTGACATACTTTCCACTAGATCTCCGCTTCATCCTTGAAGAAGACCTATATTCATCACACGTTACCCTGCTCCTACGTCTCAGAGTTTGAGGTGAAGTTCTCCTCGTCGTCTGCGTGACTGATGCGTGGTGGGGAAAAGCTCCTCATGTATGACACGTAGCCCTGCTGTTTCACAAATGCAGGTTAATGGATTGCTGGGCAGTGGACCAAGATCAGGCTCCATAGGAATTAATTCAATGTCAGTGGATACGTGGGTAATATGCTAATGAGATGGGCGTCTGAAGGGAGCCGGGCAGAGGTTGGCCTGTTCAGTATCTACTGCCCCCTACTGGAAGGGCCCTTACCTCTACTATTTACACTCAGGAATGTTGCCATGGGATCCCCTATAAAGGGTATGCACAGGATGTCACAGTAGGAGCAAGTCACCGTGGTTACAACCACTGAGTGGCAAAAAGACTGAGTGGCAGCGTTGGCGTTCAGCTTGAATGCCGCGAAAACACATCTAAAATGGGAAGGAGCTGTGCGATCGATTGTACGAATCGATTTAAAAAGAAATTGAGGACAGTTTTTGGCAATGAAAAGCTAACAGATCCCTGCAATCCACAGCAAGAACTGTACTGACTACTCACCAATTAAATATCTAGCATTATTAATTTATATTCTGTGAAGGTTTTGCCAGCATCAAGTTAAAAACATCTGTGATGATGAGTCTTGTGTTGTAGAAACAAAGTGCCAGATGGTTAGATAGCCAATGTAAACCCGGCTTTCCTTATATGGGGCTAACTCCACAAAACAACGTTAGACAGTTAGTCAGATAACATATTTTATAGAAACTTTATGTTATCAGGAAACCTGACTGCTGGCCACGTATCAATGTCCGTGGTCCAGTGGTCCTTTGGGAAGTTGGACGAATCCCTGTAGAGTCCAGATGCGTTTAATTCAAGCAAATAGTTGATTTTGCAGTTTCCCCAATTAAAATCAGCCATGTTGCAGCACGCTTTGCCACTCAGTCTGTCAGGGGGTGTGTTCCAGCAGGAAAGTGACATCATGCATACCCTCTACAAGAAACCAATGGGAATATAGCTGCCTCCTCTCGCCCCGCCCCTTT